TTTTAAATTTTATTTCATCAAAATGCACATGTTTTTGTATTATTTGTTATTACTTATTGCAGGTATTAAATTATAATAAAATTGTTGTCTAGAACTCTAGATTCTTCATAAACTGTCTAGTAGTGTATCTGACAGTAATTTACATATTTTTTGTAACAACATAAAATAATAAAATATATGAATTTGCTTATATAAGTCATAAGTACAATTAAATATCAAAATATGTAATATATATAAGTTCTTTTTCGTTTCACCTATGTATTAATGATTCACAATAATTAATATTAATATACTCTGTTCAAAATTGATAAATTAAAAAAAAACTGTTGATAAGAAACTCGGTAAGTAGCATTACACTGATGAGATAATTAATTACCTATAAATTATAATATATTAAAATAGTATTTTAATAATTTAACACAGATAAATTAAAATGGTGGTAAATCAAAACTATTTAGAAAATCTCAAGAAAATCTAAATCAAAATAAAAAATTAACTGAAAATAATATTGTTTATGAATTTAATAAGTAATATTTTCAACAGTTGAGAAACATATTTTCAAATAAAACTAAAGCATATAAATCTGAGAACTAATTTTAACTGTAAAAAAATCACCTATAGTGGTTTAACCAGGTAATTATATAGAGATGAAATGTATAATATTCATAATATTAAATAATAATATTACTAATATTATATTAATTTATAAGATGTTAATCACAACTCACAAGTCATAAGTATAACACTCTTAAGTCTTAAAACCAATAGAATTATCTTTTATTAACACTATTTAATGAACATATAATTTGGTAAACGAATTAAAGAACCACTTTCAAAAGTAGAACTTATTTATTGATGTATTATTTTAGATAGTTATGTAGACTGTTTCCCTAATTTTAATTTGTATATCTATAAAGTTCCTATAGTAGGTATCAGATAATGAATAAATATTATAAAATACCTAAAGAAACTAAGGTACATAGGCATGTATGATATTATATAAATTAATAATTATATACCTAATAAATTGTAACTTGTAAGTGGTATGTAATGTAATATTATTTGTTAATAATTCACTGTTATTTTTAATAATTTATATGAGTATTAAAAGTTTTTATTATTTTTATTACCGTATTAACATTATCACTATTAATATTAGTTTATATTTATTTAAGAACTCTTGTCTCCAACAATTGCTTTGTTTTTGGAAACAAACTATTTCATTTTAAAGTATATTATACTATATAGGTACCCAATATAACAAAGAAATAATGAATAATAATAATAACTTATAAATTATCAACACCAGATTCAAGGCCAGACTGGTATATAATGTAGAGTCTACACTATAGACATACTAACGCAAGATAGGCATTCGTCCGCATGAGCTTTCCGTCATTTTATGAATAATAAAAATGTTTTATAATTGTATTTCATGGATATAGTGCATAACTGTGAACTTGCAAAGTCTATGGCGTCATATCATAATACTAATATAATATAACAGTATTTAACATCAAATCACATTTTTTTATTATTATAATAATTTATAACAAATAAATCTCTCTTCTAATTGTGTACGTAAATAGATAAGTAAGGTACATAGTATAGGTGGTAAGTATGGTTTGTCTTATATTTTATAAATTGTAATAAATTATATAGGTACTTTTAAAAACATAAGTAAAATCAAAAAAAAATTTAAGTGGTAATGAGAAAAAAAATTTTACTAAGCATACAAGCTGTTTTTACAAATATAGAAAATTACCTTTTTAGAAAATTAATTAAATCTTTTAATCATGGCTCATACTCTTTTGTTATCTGTTATTCTGCTACCTACCTAAGACCTAGCGTTAGAAGTTAATCTCATTGATTAGTACGACTAATATGAGCTATTTATGAACAACTGAAACCTATATATGTAGGTACCTACCAACAAAACTGTTAAAAACTGTAAGTCAATAAACGTTAAACGAATAACCATATACATAATTGATAATATTGGGACTTGGTAGTTGGTTTTACTTTATTTTAGTGTTAACTTAACAAACATTTAAAATTCTTTAACTTTTTTGATTTCGTAAAATTGTTAAATATTACTTAAGTCATTTTTTTTATGTTCATAGTCGCTATAAGTGGTTATAGAAAATAAAAGTTTGGTTGACTAAAAACCTGGGTTTTAAAAATTTTTCATAGATATTTATATAATATTTTGTACTTAAATTAAAATTTAAAGAAGTATACCCAATATGTATTAGGTATACCTACCTAAACTCATGGCTAAATATAGGTACTGGTAATGTGTACAATGGTCAATGAATAAATATTATTATAAACTAGGTAGGTTTTTCAATTACGTAAATAAAAAAAATAACATTTTACTAGTTAGCATATAGGTATCTATGTGGTTATATCTTGAGGGCATTTTAGAGCCTTTCCGACCCTGGCCAGAACACTACTCAAATATAAATATAATTTGATATTAAGAGTAAGGCTTGTTATACATTTGGGTATTTAACATAAATTCTGATAGGTAAGTAAGTAAAAGGCAATCTTGTAAAAAGATACTTTTAATTTGTATTTAAATAGAGATACAAATACATCAACTTAAAAAGTATTTAAATAGTATTTAAAGAACTTTTTTCAATAAGTATTTAAGAACAAATACAAATACTTAGAAAGTATTTAAACACAAATACTTATTTTAATACATTTGTTTTAAGTTTTACCTTTGGGTTCAATACTTTTTCTCTGATATTTTAACTTTAAATTTGACCATGAGATCAAACTCATTCAAACTGTACATATTAATTATTATTATATAGTTAATACTTAATAGTTCATATATTATAATGCATGTTCCATATTCTGGTACTAACCAAGGTACCTATAATTATATGATAAGTTAATAATCACCGAATGATCGTTTTAATTATTTATTGTATGAGAACTAAATAGATATTATAAGAACCTTTAGGTATCTCCACAACAAACCTAGCTTCTGGAGAAAATAATTTATATATAAATTCTATATTTCTGTAGTGAAAATATTTTTATTAATGTATATATTACGTATGTATACTATTTAATTATTCACACTATATCGACCGTTTTCTATCGTTTTTCGCCCTTTTTAATACTCGATTCGCGTAGCTCGCGATCTCTCGAAGCCGCCGGTGGGCGGTTTATATCCGTGCGCCGCCCGCCATCCGTAGCCGTCGCAATGTCGATCGCAAAATACACTCCCGGACGGACTTTTTTGCCGATTTTTTTCGGTTTCTCCGACAGTTTCGTCTTTTCGCACGTCGTTCGTGGATCTAACATCATGTTGCTTTATGGGTTCGTTTTAGGTTCAGACTTCATAGATCATCATAGGTAAACGTAAAGTAGGTACCTACTAAAGTCGTAAACCGAATCAGCTGATCGAGTTTCGCTTCATTATTGTTCTATGTTTATAGTTTGGAGTTTCAAATAATTCACATCACAATAAACTAGTATAGGCTTCAATGAAAAAAAAACAATAATATTTTGCATTTTAGGAGGCTATGTCGGGAATAAACTTACTAAATTTCAATGATATTACTCATGACTATATTATTATTTAGTCATGATATTACTTTGATTTCTGAGAAAAAAAGATAATAAATAATCATTTATTTTTGAAAAAAAAATCGATAAAGTATTTAAATAAAAGTATTTGATTTTCAAATACAAATACGTCCAAAACAGTATTTAAAATAATTTATTCAAAAAGTATTTAAAAAGTATTCTAAATACAATAAAAGTATTTAAATACATTTACTCAAATACTTTACAAGACTGGTAAAAGGTAAAATGTATTCAAATTAAAAAAGGTGGGTAAGTGGATGTCGCTCTGCTGTACAGTAGGTACAAGTGGGTCACTGTATAATGGATGCTATTAAATTTGAATTCAATGATACAATATCATTGTATAAGAAAAACGATTCTGAGCGAAGACGGTATGTCAGTCTAGGTTAAGAAAAATTATATACATATCTATGGTATTAAAAAAAAATTGACCTATAATAAATTCCAAATTAATCATAATATCACATTATCACAATATCCATTAGGTACTTATAACACGTTATACACCAACAACAAACCCTGATACTATCATATATATATAATAGTACACTTTAGAAGTTTCAAGTAGGTACCCACGAATAATATTATATAATCACAACAAAATAACTAGGTTTTTTAATATGTAATTTCGTCCAAATTTGAACATAAAATGACTATAAAAATAAACTGTGATTGTATATTTTTTAGATTTTTTGGTAAGAGAATTAACTACTCACTCCGAATCTTGTTTTAAATTTTCAATCCTTAGCTATAAAAACTGAACATTTTATAATTTATTAATTACGATGATTAATAATTATCGAGATTTTGAAAAATTCACCACACACACCGTCTTCCAAAAAAAAAAAAAAAATTATATCACCTAGTACCTAAGCTGGAAACTACTTTAGAGACACCACGAATAAAATACAAAAAGTTCATTATGCATATTTTTAAACCGTTAGGTACAAGTTGTATTTTTAAGCGCATAACCCATAAATGCATGCATATTTAGTAGGTATAAGATAGGTAGGTACCTACTTTTTTTACGAGCATTAATTTTCGAGACTTAAAAATAATAAATAAAGTATTAAACTGTGTATCATATTGATAGGTAAAGTATAAATGGCTCATATTTGAAAACCCGATTTTAAAAGTATCTAATATATAGGTATATAGGTACTCGCATTAGTTCCCAAGTTAATGAGACTGCCTGCACAATTTGCATGTATAGGTACCTGAATCCTCTATCAACTATACTACATTATGGTGTAGGTAGGTATATCATATTATAAATAGTAGGTAGTAATTAAATATTAACGAATATAAATTGAAAAAAAAATACGTTAGAACTTTAAAATCAATAACAGTTAAATAATAATATGTTCTCCGTTGCTGTAGGTATATATAGGTATCTAAAGATACCTAATCGATGTGACGTTATATGTCGAGCGTTCGCCTTGTATTGATTGCGATATTATTTTATTGATCCAGTCTTTGAACTTTGAGATCCTCATGTACACTCCAGGGCTATTTGGTTCCCCACATCGCATGCCCCACGCTATGATACCGGCCACTACCCAGCGATTGTCGGGTCTCTGTACAACCATGGGCCCACCCGAGTCGCCCTGTATAAGATCACCAGATAATATTTAACTTGTTGTTTGTTCCAACAGGACAGATGTGAGGAAAACAAGTTGCATGGTAGTAGGCACGTAGGTACTTACTTTGCAAGCATCGTAACCACCATCTATGGAACCCGCACAGATAAATGTGTCCGGTATCTTCTTTATATATCCGGCCGAGCGGAACATATTTTCGCAAACGGAATTGTTGAGCACTGAAACCGTTGCTCCTTGTAGCGCAACAGTCGAGAGTCCACCTGTGTAGATATAGAACAATAATGGTTTATATAAAACAGCAATTGATATTGTTGTAAATATTATACACTTTATGTCTATAATAATATGTGTACCTACTCAATATCAGGGTGGCATTTTTAGCTGGTAGCAATATAAAATATAAAACAATGTGGGCAAGTGGATACCACTCTGTTATAAATTTGGTGTCGTGTGGGTCACTGTAATGGATGTGTTAAATTTGAACTCAATGATATAAGAACATTGAATACCTACGAAAAAACTATTTTGTCAGCTTATATTACTACTTACAATGGTGACAATTGGAGGGGAAACAGAGGGACAACTTTGGTTATATAATGTTTTTACTTTTTTAAGCAAGTAGTTATTGTATTGATTAAATAATAAACTGCATTATTTATGTTATATAATGTATTACATTTTATTAAAAATTTAACTACAGACTCTTATGTATTTTAAAAATGATTAGATATTTATGATATTGTAGGTACGAGTTGGTGTATTTTTTCATTTTTGAAAAAAACTGTATTTTTTGTTTTAAATGGGTTTTTTTGTTGTTTAAAACAATGTTTCAGAAAAATAAATTGTTCGAGTTTTAAACAGTAGGTACTTACCTATATTTAAAACGGTTTAAACAATTTCAACTCAAACAATTTAAACAACTATTCACTTGGATTTTACACTGATTTAAACATTTTTTTTCTTCGTTTTAAACAACTAACAAAACGTTTAAAACAAAACATGTTTTAAATTTATGTTTCAAAAATGTTGATAACAAGTTGTGAATTTTGTGTTTTTGTGTTTTTTATTTTAAAAATGAATTTTGGGTAATAACGTAACGGAAATTACAAATTATTGTAACGCAATTACTTTTTCAGTAACACAGGCCACAGCTGTAATTTCATTACATTTTACTTAAAGTAACGCAATTGTAAAGAAATTACTTTTGAAAAGTAATTTCTATGAAGTAACGCCCTATAACGCGTTATTTTCCACGTTATTAAAATACAATTTTAGAATGAACCTATTACAAAAACAAACCGATAGGATATCACAGAATATTTAAAAATCAACTATATTTATTTTTGATTCAGATAATAGTTAACAATATTACAAAACATTCCAGGAATAAATGTTATCACATTATTAGCAGAAAGAAATTAATAAAAAAATTTAATAAAAAATAATTATGATTTATAACTTATGGCTATATAGCCCTCATATAGGTGTGATGATTGTACATTTGTACATAATACTATAATAGGTCCATTATCACTAATTCTATGATAGTAAAATATATACATAATAATTGAATATGGTATAAAAAAAATTATAAAAAAATTAACGTTATTTGTAACGCACTACTTTATTAATAAAAAGGAATGTAACGTGATAAAAATAATTTTAGGCAACGCAAATGTAATTTAAATAAAGGTGCTTTGCTGTACAGTAGGTATTACAAGTGGGTCACTGTATAATGGATGGTATTAAATTGGAATTCAATGATATAATATCATTGTACATTTGTATAAGAAAAACGATTCTGAGCGGAGACGGTAACTATACTATAATTATTACCCTTATCTATGGTATTAAAAAAAATTTACCCATAATAAATTCCAAATTACTCATATCACAATATCCATTAGGTTAATTTATAACGCATTATACATCAAAAACAAACTCTGATACTATCATAGATATAATATAATAGTGTACTTTAGAAGTTTCAAGTACCCACGAATAATATTAAACAATCACAACAAAATAACTAAAATAGTTGTTCTAGGTTTTTAATATGTAATTTCGTAAAATTTGAACTTTAAATGACTATAAAAATCAACTGTGAGTATGTATTTTTTAGATTTTTTGGTAACATAATTAACTACTTACGTTTAATCTTGTTTTAAATTTTCAAACATTAGCTATAAAAGTGCAACATTTTATACATTTTTAACTAAAAAAGTATTATTAAATTTTAAATGTGATAAACTTTGTCAAAATTCGATCTTTAAATGCTTATAAAAAAAAATTGTGCATATATATTTTTAATATTTTTCAACTGATATTGTAACAATATATCAGGAGCCTTGTATTAAATTTTTACACTTTTTGGCCCAACAGATAAAACTTGATTGATATTTATAGAAAAAAAAACTAAAAAAATTGAAAATTGAAAATGTCCGTCAACAGCTCAAAAAGAGTCAAAATATTTTCAAAATTTTATCTTGTATATAAAATGCTAATATAAACATTCAGTGAAATTTTCATGTATATACAGTAATTCGTTTTTGAATAACAAAATAAAGAAATCGCTACATGAGTAATCGAGTGAATATCCAATGTTGTAAAAATTTGAATTTCAAACGCTCATAAAAATTTAATTTGACTGTCTTATAGACATTTTTTTTTTTTGATAAAGGTAGATAATCTTATAAGGAATCTTGTATTACATTTTAAAATCTTAGGTTTAAAAAGAAAAATTTTTACGAATTCTTAACTCAAATAATTTGCTAATTTTCGTGATTTTTCCTTATTTTGTAAAAATACACATTATTGTAAAATCAATACATTTATCGTTTCACTCAGAATCTAAAATATCTTTGAAGTAACGAGTAACGTAATTTCATTACTTTTTAAAAGTAATTTACCCAACACTGAGAATGGTAGTCAATATTATGAAAAAATATAGTGGGTTTTCTAAGATGGATGCCCTTGAGGTACCTATAAGTATATTTTATGATATTATTGATTTTAAATTAACTTATTTTAGGTAGCCAGGTAGGTACCTAGTACCTACCTACTATGAGTAAAACAGTAAGTTGAGATTTTAGCCAAAAAGATTTCATTTGATATACTTTAAAAGTTTTAAATGACAAGTACTTAGGAACCAACGAATATTATTTTTAAATTGCAAAAAATAACTATAATCGTTATTTACTTTGTAACTATTTAATTTCATCTAAATGTGAACTTCAAATGTCTATTAAAAAACTGTGTCTATATAATATTGTTGTATATTTTTTTGTTAAGAGGACTTGTCACTTGCATATTGCGTTAAATCTGTCTTAACAAGTGCGTAACATAGCACATTTTACGCTCATAAGATCACGTTTAGCTCCGTTAATTTAAAAATTAGAATGAATGGACCTCATATAACATTTAAAGGTAAGATTATTATCTAGGTAATCTGTTAGGCTTTTTATTATATTTTAATTTTAAAGAGAATTATGAGTATTTTAAGATGTTCAAACAATGAGGTCAACTCACTCTAGTTTTTAAACTTATGGAGCTAAACGTGATCTGATGAGCCTAAAATTTGCTGTGTCACGGAGACATACGGGTGCCACGTTCTCTTAAAGTATGATCTACTTATGAGAAACCTTGTTTAAAATTAAAATGTGCAATGCTTAGCTATAAAAATTGAACATATTTTTATAAATTATTAATGACTAAATAACTTGAAACTTTCGTCATAATAATTATGAAAATTTCTTATGCCTATAAATAGCTCAAACAGATTCAAAATATTTTGAAAATTTTCTGTCATATGGAAAATGCTATTATAAATATATGGTGAAAATTCATGTATCTATACTTATTATATTTGTTTAATTACATTAAAATTTTCTTTGGTTTTTAAAATAAATTCCATTTAGTACCTATAGTAAATTATGTAATATAGTAAATGGTGAAAAGTTTTAAATCTACAATATTACTATTTTTTTTTATTACAGCAGTCAGCAATTTACATAACTAAAATCGTTGTTTTTTTATTTAATGCCCAATTTCATGAATATTTGATTTTTAAACACTATCTATATTTAAAATTTGATTTTTAGTCTAATTAGAAATATAGACGTTTTAATATTATACAACAGGGATGACCCATGAGTAGTTTATCTCCAGATAGGGCAGAGCACATTTTCCCTCATGATAAATTGAAATAAAATCATAATTTATAAAACAGTAGGTAGATACTAAATTGTTAACATATTACTATTAAATTACAACATATCAAATTTACTTCTTATACTGCATGCCGGATATAAATTAAAATATAACCTAACCAAAACTAACATTTGCACTCAAGTCATATATTTTGTTTGCATATAATAGTATAATACTATTTAATAAAGCAAGCTGACTTTATAAATTATAATTAAAATTGTTACCATAATACAAAGCACCCCATCCAGTGATGTGAGCAGAATATCCTACAAAATTTGAATCATCCTCTGGAATGCAAACAGGTAGAATGTTCGGTTGAAATATGACAGGTTCATCAAATCGCAACAGTGCCAAGTCATGTTCCATAGCATAGGTATTGTAATTTGGATGTATAATGACTGTCTGCAATTTCCTAATTAGGAAACCATAAGGTTCATCTATTACTGAAAAATCGTATTTACCGAGGACGAGATGTATGTCATTCATTGAAACGCTAAAAAAAATGCAATGTAATCAGTATAATAAGTAGTAGGTAGGTTAAGTACAGAAATGTCAGCCCCTAGTGATAGTTTTTATTTGCCATCCAACCTGTATGGGGCGTATGGCAGTATTAAGGGGGTGAAGTGGGAATTTGCCATGGGCAGTGGGCACATCAGGATCAGGTTAGTATAATTTATTAAAGAGTGCCTGCATATTAAAAAATATTTTTTAATTTGAAAGAATGTTCAATTCTAAGAATAATGGTGTAGGTTTTATGTTTCTACTCACACTATTCAATAAGTTATAAGTAATTGAAAAAAGATGCGTGACGCCATTGGGCCCGGCTCATCGTAATAGACTACCATCTTATAAGTGCAAAAGTGTCTAGCTTCACACAACGATTTACCAATATAAACATTTTAGATTCTGAGTAGAACGATGAATAAATTGATTTTACAATGATGTACATAGAAGGCTTATAATATATTGTTTCAAAAACAGATGAAAAAAATTAAAAATCCTTAGTCCCAGTTTTTTGTTATAAGCATTTAAAATTCAAATATTGACAAAATAAGTAAATATTACGAAAATTTGCAAATTAATCGAGTTAGAAATTCATAAAAATTTTTTTTTTAAATTTAAGATATGAAAATGTAATACGAGATTCCTCATAAGTTTGTCTACCTTTATCAAAAAAAAAAAATGTCTACAAGAAACTCTAATTAAATTTTTAGGAGCGTTTAAAATTCATATTTTTACAACATTGGATATTCACTCGATTTCTCATGTAGCGATTTCCTTATTTTGTGGTAATTCAAAAACGAATAATTGTAGATACATGAAAATTTCACTGAATGTTTATATTAGCATTTCCTACACACCATACAATTTTGAAAATATTTTGACACTTTTTGAGCTGTTTACGGACATTTTCAGTTTAAATTTTTTTAGTTTTTTACTCTATAAATATCAATAAAGTTTTATCTGTTGGGCCAAAAAGTGTTAAAATGTAATACAAGGCTCCTGATATATTGTTACAATATCAGTTGAAAAATATTAAAAATACATATGCACAATTTATTTTTATAAGCATTTAAAGTTCAAATTTTGACAAAATTTATCACATTTAAAATTGAATAATAATTTTTTAGTTAAAAATGTATAAAATGTTCAACTTTTATAGCTAATGATTGAAAATTTAAAACAAGATTCCACGTAAAGTAGTTAATTCTGTTACCAAAAAATCTAAAAAACACACAAGCACAGTTTATTTTTGTAGTCAATTTAAATTCAAATTTTGACAAAATTACATATTGAAAAACCTAAAATAACTTTTTTAGTTATTTTGTTGTGATTGTATGATATTATTCGAGGGTACTTGAAACTTCTAAAGTGTACTATTATATATCTATGATAGTATCGCGGTTTGTTGTTGATGTATAACGCGTTATAAGTACCTAATGAATATTGTGATATGATTAATTTGGAATTTACTATAGGTAGGTACCTATTAATTATATTTAACTATTTTTTAATACCATAGATAATATGTATAATATAATATGTCTTAAACCTAGCTTGACATACCGTCTTCGCTCAGAATCGTTTTTCTTATACAATTATATTATATCATTGAATTCAAATTTAATACCATCCATTATACAGTGACCCACTTGTAACCTACTGTACAGCAGAGCACCTTTTTATTGTTGAAATTTAATTTAAGTATAAATGTGTGGATTTATGTGTTTAAGCCTGTACAAGTATTAGAATTTCAAAATAACGTTTAGTTTTTTAAATAGTAAACATTTTAAGTGATATTTTTGAATTTTATTTAAAAATCGCCATGAACAAAATGCGCAGTTTATACCTAAAAATATCAATTTTAAGATTTTTAATATTTAAAAAACTAAATGTTATATTAAAATTCTAATACTTTAATCGTATTAAACGCATAAAATCACAAATGTATACGTAAATCAAATTTCAAAAATAAAATATTTAAGTTGGTAAATCGTTGTGTGAAGTAAAAAACTTTTACACTTATAAGATAGGCAATTAAGAATAGGGAACAATTACGTCAAGTGGCTCTTCTACATTTCTTAATATCTCTTAAAGTTATTTTTTTTTCATCGGATTTTCACCAAATCATTACATACAGCCATAGCTGCAATAATTTAACATTTGTGTTGTGTGCGCCTTTAAGTATAAATTAACTGAAATAGCTCCATTAGGTGTAAATTGAAATATTTGATCCTTATAATGATTAAATAACAATTATATTGACAATTGACATTAAGTTAAAATTTATTTATATAATACAAACTAAAATAATTATAAACAAAAAATAAAATATCCTTATAAAAAGTCATACCTATGAGGGGGGGGGGGGTGAGGCGTCGCTAATTTCTAAATACAGTATACCTACACAGTAAGTAGGTACACCAATTTAGTATAAAACATAATATAACCGATACAACTATGAAATATAGGTATTTACTTTCTAACACAATGAGCAGTAGTTATAGCCCAGTTATCATTGATTAATACTGCCCCACATTTGTGTTTATACGTATTTTTATGTCTTAATGAAATCTTAAACATAAAAACAAATTGTATTAGTTAGGTATAATATCAAAGTATGTAGGTAATTCAATTTCAAACCTGCAATTTGACTTACTTGCCACGGCCACTCACCGAAAGAAGCTTTATCACCTCCGACTATTCTAGACATTGGGATAAGTTGCCTTCCACACACTATTTTTTTTTATGAAAACAAAGGGTTTATTAATTAATTATATTCTTATTAATATTTGAACAATAATACGTCTTGATTTGACTGACCATCTTTGTAGTTGGACATATTAAAAGGAGCATGTTCTGTATCGGTGGAATCGGTTGTGGTCGTCAAAATAATCTCCGAAGGGTATGTATAAGTGCTATTTTCTGTAAACGATCCATCAGTCGTGTTGTACATGGGTGTTTTGACAGTAAATGTGTACATATGAGAAATATTTGAACAATCGAGGTCCGATAAGTTGTGCGTCACGAAAACTACAAAGGTAATATTATATCTATATAGGTATTATGTTATAAAAACGTAAAGCGATACCAATTATTACACGCCTATACCTGGGGTTTTATATATTCTATTTTTCTTATTAAAACCCTTTTGACTAAACTTTTTATTTATACGAGGAATGATGCGTTATTTTCAATAATAGTCAGGTGTGATTGGACTTAGTAAAAATATTGAAGAAATGTAACACACATTAGTCTCGGTATGCGTGTATTTATGTGTATAAATAATTAATAAATACGGGCCCATCGGCCATCTTATAGGGTTGGATTAAGGCGTGGATATACAGTATACCTATTTAGGCTATAGAATCGTAAGTGACCAGAAATTAGGGGCACCAACCAGGGTATTGATTTTGAATAACATTTTGTTCGATACAAAATACAAATTATTTTTTAACTTTTTTGTATGTAGGTAGGTACAATGTACATATAAAATTGTACCTACCTATCCGTATACCTAAAAAAATTTAGTTGTCATACTGTTGTTTAATTTAAAATGTTTACATCAGTCGGACCAAGTCCGACTGACAGAGTAACAGTGGCACCGAATAAAATTCTTACAATTTGATTGACCCACCCAACCCCTTCCATTTTACCACCACTTCAGACGACCGTGAAATGGGCTTAACTAATTGTATATAAATAATTTAATGACATTCCTGTGTTCAGTAAAATAATAGCAATAAGACTCGGAATTAAGACTCAGTTATTTTTAGTAGATATTAATCCGGGCCTTAGATAAAATACTGCAATGTTGGTCTACAACATACAGTATACAATATAATGTATTATTGTGTATAGTATAAATAATATATCATATCAAGGTATATATTCTAACCTTCTACGTCACTGGGCGCAACAATAGGAACATTTTTACTGGCTTCAACGGAATCTAATGTCGATATTGTCGTCGATGAAGGATAAACATTAGTGCTATTCTCTGCTGACGGTGGGTCAGAAGTATGGTTGGATACGTGCGCTTTAACCGGAAGCGTGAACCATGAAGGAATAAGTGTCGAACCATCGACACCTTCTGGTGGATCGTGCGTCACTAAAACAGGAATGAGATAATAATAATGTATACGTCAGTTTTATATTATTAAAACGTGAAGCAATTTGTATTCTGCACACTTGAGTGGAGATCAAAGTTTGACATGCCTTTTTCGTTGTTGGACATATTGTGAGAATCATTTTCGATTTCGATGGAATCGGTTGTGGTCAACATCATCGTCAAAGGGTGTACATCAGTACTTTTTTTATTCTCTTCTGATGGTGGGCCAGAAGTATTGTTGGATACGAGTGTTTCAACCGGAAGCGTGAACCATGAAGAACTAAGTGTCGAACCATCGACGACAGGTGGATTGTGCGTTACTGAAACAGGAATAATATAATCTAGCTTTTGATGACCGTTTGTTAACTGTCGTATTATAAAAACGTGACGCGATTTCTATTCAAGTCGTCTGGAGTTATTCAGATACATTGGAGAGGTTATAGGTATATTTATCTAAATCTACATTCTTCTACTGTCTAATCATCATGATTTTTTTTTGACTAATGCATTTGGTATACAGGTCGATTTAACTTTTTAATAAAAATTAAACTAATTTTTCAAGTTACAATAAAACACAATTTGGCGGGATGTAAAAAAATGGTTTGAAAAAACCAAGTTTTGTGTACAATGAATATTTTTCGTGCAAGTGACAAGTTAACTGTGTGATTTCTCTAAAATTCTACATGGTAAATTTTGATTAGAGAATTAGAGAATCACAATTATTCAGTCGAACGTCTTAATCATAACACACAACAGTTTATCAAAGCCAACAGTGTAAAATAAAATGTTCTACACTTTTTAAGCACCCTCTTAAGTTTATATCCATAAGTTACAGAGTAACTCTCACAATTCCTGCCAATGATTTTTAAAATCAAAGTTATATTATACCAATAACATAACATGTGCGTCACACGTCGTATATACACTCAGATAATACCCATCGTCGAAAATTAAAATTGTAAATCGAACGCGAGCCACAGTCGACCAGTATTGGTATTCAATTAAATGTGAGTTTTTTTAACACTATAAAAAATAGTTATAAACGGCACCGACTTGTTTAAATTCCATTAAACAAAATAATCAGGTTTCAATTGTTTTGTATTAGGAACCTATATTTTATGGCTTGCATAGTCGGACCACCCATCGCCTGGATGATAAAGCAGTGGAATCGTTCCAAAATCCGAATGAATACCGTTAGCTTTCTGTATTATTGTATTATTTGAATTATAATGTCATTTATACAGATATATATTTTGAAAATATGTATGTTCACCAATTATCACCATAAAACAATTTGTGCTGCCGTTATTTGTACAAAATTATAGGTGGGCGTATTGCCGTATAATTGGTAGTCATTCTTTTGTATCATAATACGACAGTTCAAAAGTTTAGATTTTGAAACTAATCTAATAACAACTAATATATGACCAATGAAGGCCGCCTGTACCTAAGCTCAGTTTTAAGGGGGGGGCTTATTAGTATATTGTTTTAAGAAGATCTGTATTGTATCCGTCCTACTAACGCATACATAGCAAATTTAATGTTCAGCATAATCCATTTTACTTTGTTATTTTTAATACTATAGTCTATAATATAATAGTGAATTTCCCTATTATCAAATTCAAAGGTAAGAATATTATATTATATTTTAAAAGCTATAAGGCATGTGTGAGTGACAGCCACTCTCCCCACTCCTCTGTGCACGATAATACAATTAGTTATAGGAATGTAAGAAAAACGTCAGAAATGGTGAACAAATTAGATTCAATATGATTTAGTATTACTTACATCACTAAAGAGGCCAAAAATGTATTTTTTATAATTTAGTTGCCACCTTAATTTATTATAATACTTTTTCATTAATCCTGGTACCGATATAGTGGGGGGGGGGGGTTGATACAGTGTATTATATCGAAAAACTTTACACGAATAATAAATTCTCATGCCTTATAGAATTGTCGGATTTTGGCAACTATTTTTTTTATCTGAAAAAAGAAGACTTCATACATTGAACTCTGATTTTGTATTTCAAATAATAGTATAATATAATTTGTAAAAAAAAAAAGCTTTAAACTGTAAATATTATTTTTGAAGACATATCATAAAAAGTTTTAGATTAATGCGTCCTGTAGAATATTACCACTAACCGCCACTATAAGTTTCAAAAAAATTATAAAATTTGGTTGATTCTATAGAACCGGGTCATTATTCCCGTAGAGCGTATTTTTGTAGACAAAATTACATTGGCACCAGGCACTTTAAACCAATGGTTTCCATTAAGACCTACTGCGCAGTTCATAATATTATACTAGGCAATGATGTTTTGTGTGTGCGTCTGGTTTTATTAAATTCCTATCAACCCAAAAACACATTAATGCGTCCTATATTTTCACATTAATTGACCCTCACGTCTGCATACTTTTTAATGAGTTAATACTTAATAACACTGATTAAATTCATGCAATGATTGCAATGATAGATGTTTCTTCACTATAATATTTTATACATTGTAAGGAAACGAAGTCATAAATATTTTTAAAATGGAGATTATTTTTCATAAAAAAAAATCCTAACTAAGTTGGAAAAGTATTTTAAAATTTGGACTTTCTTTCATTGACGTAAATATTGTACCTATTAAAAGCATTAAGTATTAAAAAAATGTACTTCGACTTTTAAGTGTGATGGAATCATGCGTTAGTTCACTTATTTCAAACCAACTACTCAACCATTGAACATTTTATGTCTAGCTCTAAAGTTCCTAATAATATAAATTGTTGTGTGTCATACTTAGGTACGTATTTAGGTATGTCCTGCTATAACTTAAAAGATAAGTTTAGTTTTTTTTTCACATTTTTTACAAATTATCTCTTCTTAATACATAATATATTTAAATGTATTGGCTTCACATTTACATTGATAGGTATTAATATTATTATTATTTATTTTTTGTTTGTGTCTGTCACCAACATATGAAGCAGTAAACGAAGTTCAATTTTAAAAGTTGCCCTGCTCTGATAATAAGATAATTACCTATTATATAATACATGCGAAGAAGATATAGGTACACTTGTCATCTATATTATTTTACTGCAGTCTAGATCATGAGGCCAAACTGCAGATAAGTTAACATTAAAAAAAAAAGCTAAGTAAGAAAAATGAATAAAAGCCTCGTGGAGTATTAACTAATATTTGGTTTTTAAATATCTTAAAATTTCAATTGATTCTTAAGTAAAATTAAAACTAAATCGTTTATGTACCTACAGACTTCACCGAAACAGTTAGGTACCTACCTACAGTCAAAAACTTTTCTCTGATGTCAAAAATGAAACATAAAACACTTTCTTAAATTGAGAAACACGAATAGCAAATTATCAAATAAGCAAATGTTAAGATGGGCTTACACGTTTATGTTTGTTGTGGCGCCATCAACTAGGCGCCAGCTCGAGATTAATGTCCCAACTTTTATTTTAACTTGCGCGCCAGAACATGTTTACACCTCACTGGGGCCTCAACTTGCATGAGTAAACATGCACGTGTAAACCTAGCATTATGGTATAGTGGTGTAAGACAAAGCCTAATATAATATAATATCTGATGATGATCTATATTATATATTCTAATGGGTAACATCTAGTGTTTATATAATACTATTATATCAGTTCAAGATTTTATTTTAGGTACCTTCTTCGTAATTTGACATATTGAGATAATAATTTTTTTCGGCTCCGGTGGAATCCGTTGTTGTCAAAGAGTAAATACCAGTGCTATTTTCTTCTGACGGTGCGCTAGAAGTGTGAAACTCTTGTGTTTGGACTGGAATTGTCTTAACATCGACGGTGACTAAAACAGAAAGAACATAATATAGGTACTATTAATATTATAAAACGTTTTTAATTATGACCGAGTTTCAAACGGAACACTTACATATTAGTATGAAAAGTGACATCAAGATATATGCCATAGTAGCAGCTAAGGTCATTCTAACTATTTTTTAACTCAAGTTTATGACATCAAATACTGTAAGGAATTAGTCAACAGGAGCAATAAAAAAAAAAAAAAACTGTGCATAAATGAACGGCTGTGGCACTGCGAGCAGGTACTCGATACTTCAGTGTCGGACGAAACAGAATGGTCTTACTGTCGTACTGTCGTGCTGAGCCGTCTTAAGAGTCTGAGTGTTCTCTGTTTGACCAGTGACCACCAGGTTCGCCACCATCTAGAATTCTAGTGCCTTATTAGTTACCTGTAGGCTTATAGCTAACATTATAATAACATTTTAAGTACATGGTTTTATAATAAGATCACAACGACCATACACTGGTTGCCTATATTTTATTATCTAATTATGTGCGCAAGAACATGCAGTAGTACCAATCGATGAACTAAATATTAATAACCATGTCAATTTTGGAAATTTTTAAAGATTTTTATAATAATTATGTCATAAATCAACTTTATTAATAACAAAACATTTTGGAAACACTTTGGGGGATGATTTATTTGAGGGGCTAAGACCCACTATAACTCTCCCCCACATTTTATGATGATAACCATACTATTGGACCAGTCTAAGTCAATCGACTCTTTGACATATTATTATAAAATATACAAAATATAAAAAATAACACAGCATAATATACAGTAAATAATTGAAAACTATTGGACAATTTATTATAAATTATATATTAAAAAATCAAAAAAATAATATTAACGTAAGCCATAAAAGTATTTCTTTAAGTCATTTGGGATATGTTGTTATATCATACCCCAGACGTGGTAGCTAATAGGTCTTCTCTCGTGTTTGGCTGGTGACCTCGTTATAATCTGTCTCTTCTTAATTGTCCGACTCATATTACACGGACGTGACCTGGAAATCCAGGAATACCAGCTGGTTTTTGATGCGTTGGACAATCAAGGCATATATCTCCACGGTAAAATAGGCCTCTACTGAAAATAGCAGTCAGACTATTTAGGTACCGCCGGCTGATTTATGAATCATCTAACTTCCTATTTGTCTCATTTGGTGCATTCATCTGGAAACTTCCATTATTTATCGTAATGAGATAATATATATGTGATACCTCGTCCATTTGTTGCATGGACCGTATTGGTAGTACTTAACTAGTTTGTCAACGGAGCCACAAATACATCCATGCAGGGACGGATTAACCATATTAACTATACCTATATCTTCCTAGTGGTTACAAGTTCCTATATAGTACTTAGGTATGATTAACGAGTTTCGACTAAAGATTAAAGCTGTAACTAAAGTACTTATTATCTGAAAATTATATTAGTTCATTTTTATCACATACAATTTTTTTAAAAGATTTTTCTAGAAGTATATCTTGAAAATGTTGGTCCCAAAGTATCCAAAAATAACTTTAGGTCTATTAACGAATTAATCCAATCTTACTTCCAGAGGTTGAGTAAATTCCGTACATCGAAATTTTTGTCAGAGGTGGGATTGTAGCCATCAGTCAGGAAACTGGACAGTGCCTATATTTAACTTCAAAGTCCAATTTATTCTTAGAAAATATCGAACTTTCACTACCTGTGGTATGATATTATGTAAATAAAAACCATTGATCATTATTGAATACATAACTTAAAAAAAAGGTGCTCTGCTGTACGGTACCTAGGTATTACAAGTAGGTCACTGTATAATGGATGATATTAAATTTGAATTCAATGATATAATATCAATGTATAAGAAAACGATTCGAAGGGGAGACGGTATGTCAGTCTAGGTATAAGGCATGTTATATACTTATCTATGGTATAAAAAAAAATTGACCTATTATAGGTGAATATAATAAATTCCAAATTAATTATATCACAATATCCATTAGGTAGGTAGGTACTTATAACGCGTTATACATCAACAACAAACCCTGATACTATCATAGATATATAATAGTGTACTTTAGAAATTTCAAATACCCACGAATAATATTATACAATCACAACGAAATAACTAAAATAGTTATTCTAGGTTTTTTTTAATGTAATTTCTCCAAATTTGAACTTAAAATGACTATAAAAATAAACTGTGCATACGTATTTTTAGATTTTATGGTAACAGAATTAACTACTTACGTGGAATCTTGTTTTAAATTTTCAATCCTTAGATATAAAAGTTAAACATTTTATAAATATTTAACAACAGAATAATTATTCAATTTTAAATTTGATAAATTTTGTCAAAATTCGATCTTTAAATGCTTATAAAAGAAAATTGTGCCAATGTATTTTTAATATTTTTTCAACTAATATTGTAACAATATATCAGGATCCTTGTATTAAATTTTTACACTTTTTGGCCAACCGATAAAACTTTATTGATATTTATTATTTATAGAAAAAAAACTAAAATAATAGAAAACTGAAAATGTCCGTAAACAGCTCAAAAAGAGTCAAAATATTTTCAAAATTGTATGGTGTATAGGAAATGCTAATATAAATATTCAGTGAAATTTGCATGTATCTACAGTTATTCGTTTTTGAATAACAACAAAATAAAGAAATCGCTACATGAGAATTCGAGTGAATATCCAATATTGTAAAAATTTGAATTTCAAACGCTCATAAAAATTTAATTTGACTTTCTTATAGACATTTATTTCTTGATAAAGGTAGATAATCTAATAAGGAATCTTGTATCACATTTTAAAATCTTAGATTGAAAAAGAATAATTTTTACGAATTTTTAACTCAAAATAATTTTCTAATTTTCGAGATTTTTTCCATATTTTGTCAATTTTTGGACTTTAAATGCTTATAAAAAAAAACTGACTAAGGATTTTTAATATTTTTCATCTGCCTTGAAACAATATACTAGAAGCCCTCTATTAAATTTTCAAGCTTTTTTAACCAACCATTAAAATTTTATTGATATTTATAGAATAAAAAACTAAAGAAATTGGGAACTGAAAATGTCCCTAAACAGTTCAAAATAAATCAAAACATTAATGTTATAAATGTTATTAAAATGTTTTATATGTATTAAAATGTTATCGTGTATAGAAAATGCTAATATAAACATTCAGTCAAAATTTCATGTACCTATAGGTACGGTCATTTGTTTAAGAGTTGCACCAAAAACCAAAATTTTAACAAAAGATTTTATTAAAAACCGATTTTTGTGTAAAAATTTCCGTTTTTCCTTAATTTTTATTTTGTTTTTCAAGCCGCTTTTGAAAACTACTAGGACATTTTCACTTTTGACCCCAACCTTCCCCCCCCCCCAAAGTACCAACTAGATTCATTTTCCTATCAGAAAATCTACTGTTGAAGAAAATCCAAACATTTTAAAACGTATGACAAATAAACGATAACAGACACAAAAAAAAATTAAAAATTAAAAAAAAAGCACACATCATTGTAAAATCAATACATTCATTGTTCCACTCAGAATCTAAAATTAATTAATTTTTTTGATTAAAGATTGGTGTGCTAGAAAAAGCATAGTTTTAACCTGAATCATTTGTTCGGATTTTGGGTTTTGGGGGCTGGATACAGCAGGTATACAAACACCCGTTTGGGTGTAAATAACTGTTATTATTAGTTAATATGCAGGGTGTTTAGTAATCTAGAAAAAACATAATTTTTCAGTTATTTTTATTGGAATCTTTTTATACTATATCTTACTATGTTTTATACTATATCTCTCCACCCAAAAATTACAAAAATACTCAATAGTTTCTCATGGCATCGCCACTGTAAATACTTTAAATTAAATTAATAGTATTTGGTCAATGTCATAGTTTAGTGGTTAAACACAAGTCCAGACACGTCAATATGTCAATTTTTATATTGCTCTTTGTTATATTTGGAATTTGGATTTATTCTATACTACCTACTAATTAAGTAAAAACTATAATTTAATATCTAGCAATTCCATTAAATTAGAAAAAAATTATAGTTTCAAATTCTATTTTTCTAGTTATTTTAAGAAAATATTTGTAGTTTATATTTATCTCTAATTTATTGTAAAATGTCTTAATATCCATTGATCAAGATACGGAAATTGAAAATCGGCACATTATTTTGACTACTAATCGTATCAGATCAGAATCTAAAATAAAGTAGTTACCTATGTAATGAAAATATAAATTTTAATGTATATTGAAGTATGAAGTTCAAAGGTATTATAATTACCTATTCAATGGTTTTAAGATTAAGACTTACAATAAAATTTTATATCTTAAACTTCTTCCTGTTCCCCTTAAAATGTATTCAACAGAAGCTTACTGTATATCTAAATTACATTAATAAATGGTAATATGTAATTAATTATTAACTAATGATACAACATAAATATTATGAAAATTAGCAAATATTAGGTATAATGATGAGAACTTGACCGATTTAAATTTCAATAATATGCTATAAATTATAATTAATATGACTGTAAATGTGAAACCTTTAATATTCATTTAAAACCCTAATTGATGTATTCCTGGAATCTAATAACATCCCTCCTAACCACTTCTATAATCTCAATATTAAACTAGACTTGATAATTTTATTTTTATTTGTATTTTTATTGTCATAATTTTATATTATTTAAATTAACTGCAAAGTTTTCATAGTCACTGACCTATAAACAGTTTTCCAATAAAAAATAAATATAAAAAGTATCAAGTCTTTTAAGTTTTATATTTGTATTATATTTATTTTATCTATTTAGTTTGGCTATTATAAATTATAGAGAACACAGTTACGACAATAGTACAGTGCAGTCCCAAGTCATTCACAAGAAACACATTCAATCACTGATCGCTCAAAGTGAAAAATACCACTCTACTAGTATAAATTTACTTTTTTCACCAAATATAGCCAAGGTTGTATTGAAAAAATAATTAATGATTAAAGAATAAAACAGATATTAATTTAATGATTTATTCTGGTTATCCCAAAACATCAATTCCATTAATAAATAAATTAATTAATATAATAAAAATATATATGACAAATATAGCTCTCATTCCTAAAAAATATTGCTAACAGTTGCATAATTTGTTATATTATATCTAAAACAACAATAAATTATAAAATACAGTGGCATACAACTAGCACAAAGTGTATTATTAAATTTTAATAATTTAAATCTAATAAATAATGATTATTTTTAACAATAATTTAGAACATCCCATATTATTATTTGCTATCTATAATTATCACAATAATAAAAAATAGTTAAATGGCCATTACAAATTTTAGTTTTTTTCATCCTCATAAACAATAATAACCAACTGCTTTTTTCTTTTGTCAACATTAAACATGTTCTAAACTAACATAATATTAATTAAAAATAGTTAATTAAATCTTTGAAAAAATCTGTAATTCATAATGTCATACTAACACCCTGATACGTTATACAAAGTTAGTAATCTTTGAAACAGATAACATAATTTATAACAAAACAAAAATGATTACATAATGGGCAATATTATAAAATTAAAAAAATATTGTTAGTTAAAATGGACGGTAATTCTTATATAAAAATAGCACATATAAAAATCACAACATTAGGTTACACTTAAATAATAGTAATAAAAAAATTGTTTCACACAAAAAGCGGAGAGCTCTGTTTCCATTTTTTTTTTTAAATATAACCTCTAAACGAATTTACTTTAAAACATTAATACAAATGCTATTAAAAACTTTGTTAATCTGTGTTTTATTTATGCTTTCTATTAAAATGGCATAAACATATATAAGAATAAATTAATACAACTACAAAGGTCTTAAAATTGTTCTACAAATAATAAATATCAGATAACAAGTAGAGTAAAAAAAAAATATATTTGCTGTTACACACCTATAATATGTATATATAAATAGTAATTTGTCTAATAAAAAATAACAAGCAAACCATGAAATTAAAATCAAATAGTTAATCGAGCTAAGATAGAAAAAACATAATAACTGTGACAAACATTTAAATGGCTACATCATTTTGACTTTTGATGCTTCAAATCCCAGGAACAACAAAATATAGTAAAAAAAAAAAAATATTACAAATTTGATATTTGGTAAACAAGTATATATTATGTTAATTTGACGAGAAGTAAACAATACTACTATACTCTATTCAAGATAAGTTTGACTGAGCTGCCGAACAGTGACTGACCCCCCATGCGTTCTGTAATTGACCAACAGTCATCAGCGGCCGTCGATCGTCAGGCGCCTGTGCTAACGCCCTCACCGATGTCCGGATTGTAGTAGGAATACTCGGAAAAAACGTGTTTTGGTCGAGGGAGCGGTTCAAACATATCCTGATTAGAGTATACTTGTAATGGTTGAAAAAATATATTATGTAGGCTTGTAATTATTAATAATGCGGTTGAGTGTACCACCACCTAGTTGGCAAGCCTAACAGTCATCTCGTTTGTGATGAAAAAAAATAGAAGAAATAAATACATTTTCGGTCCGGTCACTACTGTTTGGTAGAATTATAATACTATACTCTACGCTTGTAACAAATGTAAGGCGTTTGCAAGATTTTCGGTGATGTCTCCATGACACGCAACAGCAACTTGTCCAAGTACTCCTCTAACTCGGTTCTCTGTTTGCTCTCATCACGCAAACTACTTTGCAGCTGAATGACCATTTCGATCAAGTCCTGAAAAACATATCATAATTTTATTACTACAACAACTTGTGCAGATTATCGGAATATGAAGTTTTTGTATGAAGATATCCATGGCCATAGCACATTGGGGCTTAGCACTTCCTTGGCCACCTCAAGCTCTCTTTAATATGTGAAACATCAGTATGTATCTCTCACAAGCCTATGTGAAATCACAAATTAAGATAGTATGGATGCCCAACAAGTCATTTTTAAAATTCTATCATACAGCAAATAGTATGAATCAAGGCCTTGGGTAGAATCATGAACATTTAGGAGAAATTATCTAATGTTCACACATAGAATTTGTCTACAGCCATGATATGTATCTGAGAGTCACATGGTCCGGTGATCATTTTAGGTTATACTCATAGACTGGCCTTTCGTACACCCAGAGCGGTCAAAAATAGAGAAAACTTCTGTTGTCACTTGTGACTGCACGATAATAGGTAGTTAATGTTGTGCATGCTTAAAGATAGTAAATAGTAGAAAATACGTATGTTATTTAATATTTTCTATGTCTTTACGTCTTGTACTTAGTAGCATTTTAGATTCTGAGTAGAGTGAAAGAACGAATTGATTTTACAACGATGTGTGTGTGTGTTTTATTTTTCTATCAGTAGTAACATTTTGAGTAGTAAAAAATATCCGATTTTCGAGATCAGTATCTTTTCTGATAGAAAAGTGAATTTAGTTGGTACATTTGAGAGGTTAAATTTGAAATTTATTAGGGGGTCCTAAAAACTAATACCTATGTACCTTTTTCAAAAGTATTTTTTAATAAAAAAAAATATTGACTGTGTTTTTTTTAAATATAAATACTGGTAGGGTGGGGTCTTATACACTGGACCAACCCCTACCGTAAATCCACCACTGTAAATATTGACTTGATATGGTTTAAAAATTTCCCTCCCTTAAGTCACCCACACGCTAATAATTATCCATTGTATCCGACTGACAGGAAGACGTGTATATTGTATGTCATTGAAAACCTACCCAATAATTTATGTAAATATTTGAGGTTATTTTTTTCAAAATTATTTTTAATAATATACGCACATCTCTAGTTTTGCCATCAAACTTCTGAAGCACCTCTGATGAGTGTTTGGAATGTGAATTTTGATGGTGACTGGAATCTTTTTCCTTGCCAATGATGATGCGCTCATATGCTTTATTCCACGAGGACAAAGCCGACTTGCTTTCTATAAAAAGTGATGTGAAACAGCTTTATTAATACATAATTATTATGTAATTTAGGTGGTGAAACTATTTTCAATAGTTTACAAACAACATTTTGATGACACGTTTTTTTAAAACGGTTAGATATATTAATTAACTGTTTATAAAAACTAATAAATTGTATGAACATCTAACATTTATTTAACCCATCGTTGATATTGCTATGTAACGCCCCACCATTGGTGTTAAGTATAGACCTGCGCAGGGGGGATGCTAGGTATGCCATGGCAGCCCCTGCAGAGTTATCGTAACCATGTAGTTATTAGATGTAAATGTTTTGATTATAAATTAGAATCACGAACTAAGATAATTCATAGTATCTTAGTTCAACCAAGAATCAAAGGCAGATGAAAAATATTAAAAATCCTAAGTCACAGTTTTTTTTATAAGCATTTAAAGTCCAAAAATTGACAAAATATAGAAAAATCACAAAATTTAGCAAATTATTTTGAGTTAAGAATTCGTAAAAATTTTTCTTTTTAAATCTAAGATTTGAAAATGTAATACAAGATTCCTTATAAGATTATCTACCTTTATCAAAAAAAAAAGTCTATAAGAAAGTCAAATTAAATTTTTATGAGCGTTTGAAATTCATATTTTTACAACATTTGATATTCACTCGATTTCTTATGTAGCGATTTCCTTATTTTGTTGTTATTCATAAACGAATAACTATAGATACATGAAAATTTCACTGAATATTTATATTAGCATTTCCTATACACCATAAAATTTAGAAAATATTTTGACTCTTTTTGAGCTGTTTACGGATATTTTCATATTTCAATTTTTTTAGTTTTTTTTTCTATGAATATCGAGATGAATAAAGTTTTATCTGTTGCGCAAAACAGCGTAAAAATTTAATACAAGGCTATCTTAATGATTTAAGATATAAAAGACTTCAAATTTTCTCAAAATCATAAATTTTTAGTTATCACACTAATGTACTCACAGTGAGTTATGTGAAAGATAAAATATACAACTTTTTAGATTCCAATACAAAAGTTTAGAACATCCCCGTTGTGGATATAGAGAATGACATTATTAACAGTACATAGTTACAATTGATTTTAAGATATTATATACTTGTAGTTAGTGTATAATTAAATATTGTTTTTAAATTAAAATTTGTTTAGGAACCAAGAATTTAGCACACTCGCAGGGTGTACTAACTTGTTTTTACAATATATTTGCATATTATAATATTTATGTTTATTTTTTTTTCAACCTTGTATAATACTATAGTTATAATGATTGAGTGGATGTATGAAATATTAAAAATAACTCTCAGGTTCACCTGAAAATGGTGCCAAAACATTTTTTCCATGCACAAAGAGATTATCTTCTGTACATTTAAATAAGTAACTCTTATCCTATATATGATTTTTGTATTGATTTGCTTACTTGGTAATGTGTCATTTTCATGGTTGGATTCTTTATTGTTAAAAGAACGGTCATCAAGTGGTGAAATAGGATGTTTCTTTTGAACTTTAGGACTATTTTTGAGAGATGGTGTTGGACTTTTATCTTTAGTTCTATCGTGATTGATTGGCATGTCTACAGTGTCTTTCAATTTTGACTTAAGAGTGTCAGAAAGTTTCAACATATTATTATCTGGAAAACAAATATTTAAACAGTAAGTTCAAAATTCAATTTTGAAATTTAATTAATTCTTAATTAATTTTATACCCTTGTTTTTGTACAGTTTTCTTTGCCATTCGTCTTGTGTCTGAGAAACTGGTGAACGATTCATAACTGGAGATTTGTTCATTGTATCTGAGTTACTAACACTTTCAACTGATCCATGAATATGTAATGTTAACCCACTAATAGGTGAACTGTTCACACCTTTGCGATCAGATTGACCAGATGTCTCTAAAGAGCAAGCTGACCCTTTGTGCGATAAATCTTCGAGCTGAAAGAATAGAAAATCATAAGTGTGTTAAAAACAACCTACAAGTTACAAAAGGACATTGGTCAACTGTTATATTTACTGCAAAATCATCATCGTCACTGATAACACCTGGATCGGCATCGTATCCTTCTTGTAAAGATTTTATTTTGTTTGGATTTTCCACATTTAAATTTATACTGGAGGACGATATTTCTTGAATTTTTTTCTCTCTTTTAATTTTCCCCGCTAAAATTTAAAATACACTTGTTATTGATAACATTTGATAAAATTAAATAGCAACAATCATAATTAAATTTTAATCAGTAATTACTTATTGTTTTGGCTAACTTCTTAAATGATTTTTTATCAACACTACTAATACTCATCAAACTACCACCTAAAACATTCAAAAGTTATATAAAATTTTAAAATCTAAATTTTTTATACTCATATACACTTACTGATATTAGAAGCAGTGTGAGATAATTGCCCTACAGATAATCTGTGTTTTTCTTTCTTGCTAAGATCCCTTAGACTTCCAGATTTAACTGTGAATGCTATTTTGACCTGTAGTTCACCGCGTTCTTTGTTTTCTTGTCCATTTTTGCTTTTTAGAGGATACCATCTGATACAGAGCAGAGATTGAAATTAATGATTTTCTGGTTACTTCTAATCAGTATTATTAATCAAAGTAAATAACATTGAATGTACTACCTTAGATCATATACTATATACTGTATGCCTGTATATGATCTAAGGTATGTACAAACAGTTGTCTAATAATGTTAACAGATAAAATAGATTTTTTTTGTAATAATAGAAAAAAAAACTACCTTTAATTTATGAACTTTAAGTCTAGGTAAAATTCCATGCACCAACTCAAGCCACTGTCATAAATGAATAATACAAAAATTGTATCATTCTACATTTTGTTTGGGTTATAAATACAGTAGAACCTCCATTATCTGAACACTCTATTATCCAAACGTCAATTACACGCATTGTAGCACACGTTCACATCACATAATCGTGTTTTTATAAATAATGTATATAATAATTCTATACTCTGTTCAATATAAGAAGATGACCTGGCCCAGTTTTTGTTCCGCGATGGACAGACGTCGTCTCCACTACGGCAATACGTCAGGTGCTGCCACGGAACAAAGCCACGCCCATGCACACAACTCGGCCGCCGGGACATCGTCTTGTTTTGAACAGAATATATATTAATAATAATTATAACTACAAACAACATATAATATTATGAATGTTTTTCATGATAAATATTAACATATTATTAAATATCAATATACTAAGCAATATATTGTGTGTACATTGTACAAAATATGCATACATAATAATAAAAAAATCCCCTGTTCAAAACTAGGCGTGATTCCAGTTAGTTTTAACCGAGGTTGTAACAATCGAGGTTCTACTGTATTCTAAGACAAAATCTTTACTATGCACAGCTTGGCTGATTACATTTTCATTAAAGCATAAACATACTGGCTTTTAGGACGTTCATAAACATCTATATCGGCCAAAGGTATTGTGGTCTGGCCCAAAAATTGGTCTAGTCCCAAAAAATTTCGATGAAGTACACTTAGTACTAATTCTGCGGTATTTCCTTGTTTAGGAATTTGCCTGGAAAAACCATCTTAAATAAGTTTTCATATTATATATTAGTTGTTTACTTTTAAAATAGCTTACAATTCACAAACTTCGTGCCATTCTGTCAACTCGGTATCAATAGCTTTTTCTTTTGGCGATGTTTGATATTTTTCTTTCCCCAAACCAATGGTGACAAACACATCATTTTTGGCTAAAGTAAAACACCATTCAAGATTAGATATACCAAATAATTTTGCATAGTGTATATTTTTATGTCTTACCTATATTATTATATAGTATATACAATGTATACTTATAAACTAAGGTTAAAACATTCTTGTGCAATGGGCGTGGAGAAAATAAAATATAATTAATATAATATGCATAAATATACATCATTATTATTGAAATTTGTTGATTTATTTGTACCGATTAAAGAATATTATTTATTTACATAAATATATAAGTACCTATATTTATCCATATAAGTTAAAGGGATTCGATACCGTGATTTTCTGTTTGTGTCTAACACACGCGGACATAGTATTTTAGACGTGTTTTTTGCCAAACATACCAATTGATCTAATGAAGCCATAAGAATTCTGAAAACAGATTTGAATTTGTCGTCAAGTCTACTTGAAATCGACTTCCCCACATTTTTGATATTATCCCCCAAATTTTTTAAAATGTCATAGGTATTCAAAAATTCTGGTATTTCAATTTTTGGAGAAGTTAAAATCAAAAAATCAAAAATGTGGGAAAGTCGATTCAAGTAGACTTGACAACAAATTCAAATCTGTTTTCAGAAATCTTATCGCTTCAATAGATCAATTGGAAGGTTTGGCAAAAAACTCGTCTAAAATACTATGTGGCGCGTGTGTTAGACACAAACAGAAAATCACGGTATCGAATCCCCTTAATACACTGATATTTAATCCTAATCCCAATCCTAATTAACTCGCAGCTATGCCCAGTAGTCAAAGTTAATTAATTACTTTATTTATTTATTTATGTATATTTGACAATAAGACAATACAGATATAATTTTTTTTTTTAATACAATGATTAAAATACGAGATCATATTATAACATATAAACTAAATTTGTAGAAAACTTATTTTTAAAGCAAGTTAATTCATAATAGGTACATAGTCACATAAAATAAGTTAAGAAAATATAACACAATTAATGTTACACAATTAAAGAAATAAATAAACTAAATAAAATAATAATAAAATTTAATAATATATTACATAAATTAACTAACATTTTCCAGTATATTAGTAAGAGATAGTAAAATATTTACTGGTGAGCTAACCGCCATAACCTACATTTTTATAAAACTGAGAGATATATAATAGGTTTTTACTTGGGGAATTATGTTTATTTACTTTGAAGTTAATTTTACTATATAGAAATGTGTCATCAATGATATTTTTAATAATAGTTTTACTTGACTTTATTTAAAATAACTTAATTATTGCTTCTTTTAAGGAAATCATTAGAATTTAATATTTAAGGATATCTAGTGAAATGTGTTATGAAAAAATAAAACAAAGAAAATTATTTTGAAATGCTTCAATTTAGGCATAGCATTAGCATGGTAATATAGGTTTAATGTATACCTAGTTAAGATAAATTATATTCTACTAAGGAATAAATAATGTATATATAAAGACTTAAATTTGAATGGATCATTAATATTAGAGCTATTGTGCAATTACCGTGTCAAATTGCTTTTTCTTTATTGACAAATATTCCATATATTTAATAAAAGATTCCTTCAAAAATTGATCCTTGATTTAGGAAGATCAAAATAAATTATGGATGTGTAAAGTATAGTTATAAGAAATTGGTAGGTACTATTTTTGTTGTGAAAGAGATACATTGAATTTTGTTAACATTAAAAGACATACGATTTGAAAATAAATGCTACCAAGGAGAATAATGTTAATATAATTTTGCAGAGGTTTAGCAACAACAATATTTTATCAGCAAATAATAGTACATGTTGTTCCATTTACAACATTTCAATGATTCATAAAAAAAAATATTTTCATTAATCAACAAATAATAGTACATTCATGTTCTATTCAAAACATTTCAATGATTCATAGCAAAAACATAATCATTAATTAACAAATAGTAAATAAAATATAAATTGAACTAAAGTGGAGAGAGGCTATCACCTAGAGAAACACTTGAAATTACTGAAATAGAATTTAAAATAAAATAAAAAATAAAATGTTTAATAAATTTAAATCTTCATGTTAAGAATTAAACCAAAATAATAAAGGGTTAGAGCTCAGTAAATCAATAAATGTATAATTAAAAATTGAAGGTTAATTCTATCAAAAGCTTTTTCAAAGTCGGTTGTATCTGATAACTTTGTTCTTATTTCAAAATGTATAGTCATTTTAGTTTTTAATATACGTATGATCATCTAGCTACTTATAAGGAACAACATTTTTAATTGTGCTTCTAAAACTACTCTTACTAACTACTTACAATTTAATTAAAACATGATCTAATTAAAATTATAAACCGTTATCTTTGTAATGAAACTTAATAGGTAGCAACTACCAATTTCTAAATGACCTAATCATTGACCTAACATATATCCAAAAAGAAATAAACACTAAGTGGTCTGATAATGTTTCTGAGAATATTTTACAAATAGTTAACAAGCGAACCATATTATTATGACTCACTAAGTGTTTAGGGTGAAGGGAAAGGTAAGACATAACTAATACAAATCAGTATAGTGGATATATTATTTTTTCTAATAATAATAACGCATTCTAATGATTTGACTAGAGCTGAGAGAGAGAGAGAGTGTGTGTGTGTGTGCGTGTATGTTTTATGAGCCATACAACGATACAATAAGCAATTTATGAAGAGGACAGATGAATCAAAACAGTCGTAAGTATGAATGGCAAATCGGAAAAATACTAACCGTTTTTATTCTTGAAGTTTAAGCCCCTGGTCCTCTGAACTGTAAACGAAACACGGTGGCATTAATATCATTAATACTATAGGTAGTCATTAGGTATTTTTTCCGTTTTGCAAAAAACACATACCTGTAACTTGTACGTGCGTGGGACTCCACATAGCGTTGGTGGCTAGTGACGAGGGGTGAGTGAAAAAAAAATATGAAAAAAAAAATCTAAGCCCCGGAGACCGACGGAAGACGAAACAATAGCGGTAGGCGGTGGGCTACTGAGAGACGGAGAGTTGAGAAAAACTACAATTAATGGAGACGGTTTGCGATTGATAAGAAACGACTACGACAGCGATAAGCCTTAGCGCCACGACGGATAAAAAAATGTTCGAGCAATCAAGCATGTATACTGCGTATGGTACGACTGCGACACTGCGTATGGTACGACTGCGATACTGCAATTTGCCAGGAAACACTATTAGAGATAGATTATCTTATCATTACTCGTGATTACAAACAATGAACAAATTATAAAAATACGTTTTGACAATATTACGTTTTCAGTTTTGAATGCCTAATAATTATTGCCTTCAATAATAATTTATTATTTATATTCGGATATTAATATTTATAATATTTTATTTTATTTTTCTGTATAAATTATATTTACTTAAATAAAGATTAGTTTGCTGCTTAATTCCTTTGTTTCAACAAATTTCAAAAGTCAAGCAGAGCATAGAAACTATACCTAGTAGTTTTCATTTTTTTTACATAAGTACTCTAGAAATTTGCTACACCTAAACCGATGTGAAATATAATGTGCCTCCGATGTTTGGGACCAATCATTTACATGGTTCATTATCCCGGCGTGGGATAATGTGGGGATAATTTTAGACCGGTCTAGCGTAGCTTATTTCTAGACTTACTAGGTATGTATATTTTAAACTTTATTGTTTATAACACTGAGTTGGTCCAAATGTAAGTACCTACCTAATAAATTGTATATACTTTTATTTTAGGTTTCCTTTGAAAAAATTTTCTACAGTAGATTTCGGCTATCAATCGGTTTGGGTTTATACCAAAGAATATCTTCGATCTGCAATACTCATTTTTTTGTTTCGGATTATCCAGACAGTCCAAAAAGCAATTTTAACTAGAAACCCAAACTCAATTCAGTTCCATCAGTTTTTCTGGATAAACCTATATGTATCAGTAACATATTAGAGCTATATTATATTTATATTTGTTTTTGTTTTACAGCCTCTATACATACCTTCTTATTGCATGCAGTTCAAAGTTTTGATGTATTATTGAAAATACAACATCAAATAAAAGTTCATAATCTGCTAATTCTAGTTTAACTTTTGCTACACCAACTTCTACTTAATCAGGTGCAAAAGAAGCGACTTTATATGAATCAAGTAATGATATAAATATAAATCATGGACATAGACTTATACATGGATGAAATAAAGATGCCCAATGATAACATCTAGTACCCCAGTACAATTAGTATGATTCGTATTTGAAGGCAATTTAAATAATATTAAAAGAGCAAGTATTTTATATAATTACAATGTATCAAATGCAATAAGTTTCGCTAATTACCGTAATTGTGTTTTCAAAAAAAAAAAAATTTACCACCGATAATATGCTTACAAACTGTTTGTAGTAAAGCTTTGGACAAGAGTTTTACGATTTTTTATTCATAAAAATTACATACACATTTGAAGTACTTTTTATTCATTACAAGTATTTTTAAGAATAACTTCGACAACACATCATATTCACAAGCTCATATTGATTTGTACCATAAATACAAAAAAAAAAAAAACACAAAAGCATTGGAAAAAAAACCAAAAATAATTTTTACCAATAATTAGCATTGCAATGAAATGAAACAATTTTTATGTAAGAATTATATTTTTATCTTTATTTATTACAAAAAGGCATTTGCCTTCAAATCTGAATCATACTAATTATTAATTACTCCCATTACAATGTGTTTTTAATGTGAATTTTATGATTATATCAAGAATTCTAAGACACAGTATAACATAAATAAACAATTTGAATTTGCTGTCGAAACATTTAGGTATTAACGTTTTTGAAGGGGTTGTCAGTATTTTTTAAAATAGCTCAATAGTCCATAGCTAGTATTAAGGCTTAATATCAGTTTACAAATTCTCAAATATATACTAAAAAGTAAAAAAATATTTAATAAGTTGTAAACAACTCAAAAAATATTGAATAAAATGATGTTACTTGATCAGTTTTTTTAATTCATAAACAAAATTTAATTGCATCCTAATACTTTGGCTTTCAAACTTGTATGAATGAAAAAAAATGTCTTCACATTTTGATTATAATTATTTATATTATTAGTCTTGTGTCAACCATTATTTTTAGCCATTTAACCATAATATTATATTATATTATATATGATTATATTTTGTTTTCAAATTTGGATAGTATTTTTAAAGTTCTTAAACAAATTTGGTTTTTGATAAACATCAAAAAGATTGGTACTTACTTACATCAAAACTATTATCAATAATAATAATAATTTATATATACTAATATTGCTTACAATAAATGTAAAAAAAATGCATGATTATACCTAAATATATAAACCAAGAAATAAGCAATATTATAAAAAAAATTCATATTACATTGAATCCTAACATCTTGAAGCAGATTTCTATATTACATAGATGTACATAATACATTAATGCTAATTACTAGGTATTTTTTTTCTATTAACTGCTAATAGCAAGATAAATATGGAAATTATTGAACTTGAGACTTGGTCATGTAACCAATGGCACAAAATGGAGGGTTCAAGGGTAGCAGTTCCTACCCCTAATTTTTTGGTAAGTGGATGGGTGGACACCCTGGCTTCAAATATTTACTTCATAACAATTGTACTAAGTATAAAAATATTAAAAATAAACAATTGAATAATTATAGGCTATAGCCATTAGCCTATTAGCCAATAAAAAGTTAACCGATTCAATATGCTCCCCCCATTTATTTTTGAGAGTGCGCTACTGCATGTAACTAATATCTAATATATTTGATATGGACCTGTTCATTTTCCAGTACTTAAATTGTGAACATGCAGAGTTACTGTAAAGATTCCATGAACTTGTTATAATAACTATGTTGGTAATAAATTTCTAAGTGTTCTAACTTAAAATGTTTTGAATATTTTGATCATAATAATACTATTGATTTTATAATATTTAAAACTTACACAGTGGGCCTAATAAACTATAAATAATAATATCAAATACTAAAAACTGTTACCTAGATTTCTACAGTTTAATTACACTATAAATGAAATGTTTTTTACGTACAATTAAAATAACAGTAATAACTAATAAGCATAGCTGGGCATTACCATAACTTGTTTCTTTCGGTTTTTCATTAAATTAACTATTAACTAAATTTCTTTTTTAATTAACGTGAAATTAACGAATTAGTGTTTCATTTTAAGAAGTGAGTTAAGTTAATTTTTTTTGTTTTTAATTTTATTATATTTCACTATTTCAGTCTAATTTCTTTTCATGTCAAAAAATATTTATATGGACTATATATAGATATAGTTATAAGTTTTCTCATCGTTTCATAGCGTACAAACTTAACAGTGACATTTTACACACCCCCTGGCCCCTACAAATATAGTAATTTGCCTCCACACGAGTATGTCTCAATGAGGCCCAGTAATCTCATAGATTTAAATTTAAATAATTAACTCAGCAACATTATAATAATATATTATAGACACTTATGTCTTATTATATTAATTAGCCTTGTAGTATACGCGACATTGTGACTTCGTTATCCCTGTGAATCCATCAAAAATTGATCCCTCGATTACATAGAATAATAAAAAGTGAAAGAGTGTATGAAACCTGATTACACTCTTTGGAAGTAAGACTTCTTTCATAAGTAATTGGGCCCGTGAAATTATAAGTGAATTAGGAAGACAGTGAGGAAAAGGTGCTCTGCTGTACAGTAGGTTACAAGTGGGTCACTGTATAATGGATGGTATTAAATTTGAATTCAATGACATAATATCATTGTATAAGAAAAACGATTCTGAGCTGATATGGTATGTCAGTCTAGGTTTAAGACATATTATATACATACCAATGGAAATAAAAAATATGCACAGTCTTATCATTGAGCAATGAGCATACATCTTATTCCTTATACTATAATAGATTGTATGGGTAGGCCATAATATTTAGATTTTTTGATTTTTCAGTTTCATATGGATATTTGAAAATGAAAAATCAAAAAGTAATATTTTTAAATTACAAAAAAAAACCAAAATCATTAATATTGATTTTATTATGTAATTTCGTCCAAATTTGAACTTAAAATTACTATAAAAATAAACAGTGCTTGTGTATTTTTTAGATTTTTTGGTAACAGAATTAACTACTAACATGGAATATTGTTTTAAATTTTCAATCCTTAGATATAAAAGTTGAACATTTTATAAATTTTTAACTACAAAGTAATTATTCAATTTTAAATTTTGTCAAAATTCAATATTTAAATGCTTATAAAAAAAAAATTGTGCCTATGAATTTTTAATATTTTTCAACTGATATTGAAACAATATATGAGGAGCCTTGTATTAAGTTTTTACATTTTTTGACACAACAGATAAAACTTTATTGATATAACTTTTTTTTTTTTCAAATTCTCCCCTAGCACAAAATCTTAACCGTATTTTTTTTAAACTACCGTTGATATTGTTTCAGTTATATAATTAGTTTTTGTTAAAAAAATTAATTTGTTGCAATTTTAAAATATGATAAATATTTTGTGCAAGTTGAGAATTTGTGAAGAAAAAAAATAAAGGTGCTCTGCTGTACAGTAAGTTACAAGTGGGTCACTGTATAATGGATGGTTATAGTATTAATTATAGCTTAGTTAGAATTTGTGTAATTAGTAAAAATCACAAAAAGCTCATTTTTACAACATTGGAAATTGACGCTATTTCTCATGCAATATTCTTGTCTTGTTGTAATTAAAAAACAAATAGGTAACCGCAAATACTTGAAATGTACTCTAAATGTTTATTTTCTATAGGTACTTACTACTTAATACAATTTTCAAAATGTTATGAGGTGTTGGTCGAAATTTTTCTTTT